AGTAAGAAGATGAAGTGTTTTTATTTTATTTTATTAGTTTGATTATTTTATGTGAAAAAATATAAACTTATCATTTAAAAAAATAATAATCAAATTAAGGTCAAACAATTAACATTTGATTAACCAATTATCGTCTAACCGAAAATTGTACCGAGATTCTTCCACCACACAAGACTGAAAGATTTAGTATCAGTGTTGCTACAAACGAAAGATTAAAGTAAAAATTGAAACAATTTGAAATAAAATCATGACTACAATTATTCTTAAAGAATATTATACTGAAAATGTGTTTGGAGTCTTGGAGACCATCAACCAATGTATCAATATTCATAAGCAACTATTACACGCCACAAACTTTTTTAATCAATCACATTCAAGTTATTCCATTGATGACCGCAATTGAGCATCTCTACTAGACACGAATATGCAAATTTTAAGGTTATGTTATTTTTACCATTTTCAAGTCGTTTTCTGTTTTCGATTTTCCAAAACAGTTTAAACGCGTTCTCTTTCTTATTTTCGAAAATGCGTTTTTAAAAACAAGTTAAAAATTTACAAAGAAAATCCAAAATGACAAATTTGTCGTTTTTGGTGTTTTCGGTTATAATTAAGCCAGAATTTTCAAAACGCATTTTGGATGTTTTCAAAACAATTTTTCAAAATGTCAAAAAAAACACATTTTTAACTATCTCAAAATGAACACTCAAAATACAAAATTCAAAATAAATTCAAAACTCAAAACACATTATTGAAACACAGAGAGAACAAATCCTAAACCTTCGAGAAATCGTTTCTCTAATGAATGAACGAGTCCACAACGTGTACCGTCCTATACTTTATTAAGGAAGTCATGTCATGTCATGTCATGTCATGTCATGTAGGGTGAATAGTTACACATTAATATAAAATTTATATTATTAATTCATTTGGAAAACAATTACACAAATAATGTGTGAATACCACAAGTTCAAGGTTCAATCATTCAATTATGAAAAGATTTAAAAAAGAGATGTGCTACTTGTATAGAAAAAGTGGTGACAGAATTCAAATAGATAATATTTGATAATTTTTTATTGGACAATGACAGCATCTGTAAAAATTATGCCAGTAATTTTCTGTACAAGGGGAATTGTTATTTTAAAAATTACTCTACGATTAATAATTAACTCTTACTTTATAATAAGTTAATAACCCACCGTAAATGATCTTACAAAATATTTCAAGAGTATCAAAGCTTCAGTGCAAAAATGGAGCGTAAAACTTTTGGATCAAACGAGAAAATTCGTGTGACTTGCTTATTGGGCATCGATACGATGAACGAGTTCTCTGCTCTCCTTTTTATGGACATATTTCAGTTGCTTTCTTAGTGCTTGTTTGGTAGAGATTTTTGAGGAAATAATTGATTTTTGAATAGTGATATGATGGAAAATGTGTGGTTGAAAAAGAAGAAAAAATTATTGATGTNTGGTTTAAAAAGAAGAAAATATTATTGATGTGATGAAATATATTATTTTATTGAAGAATGTGTGGTTGATAATGAGAATTGATTTGAGAATCAATTCTCAAATAAAAAACAAACACCCCCTTAATTATTTTTAAGATATCCGACACAATAAAATATATTTTTAACCGATAATATTCAAAAATGGAAAAACAAAAACTTAGTCTCTACTTCGTTGAAATTAAAATCTAAATTTTAAGCTAAGTAAAAATCAACGACTAATTTTAAAAACACATTTTATGGGCCCTATAATTTTTCAATCATATATTTTATTAATTTTTATCAAAATCCTATTAAAATTTGATTTTAATCCCACCAAACAAGCCCTAATCACGTTTATCTTTCTTAATTTATCCATTTATGTGCATAAAAATAACATGAGAGAATGTTCGACATTACGCATCAAAATTATTGAAATTCCTGTTGTTGTTAACCCCGTAAATAATCTCAGAAAATATTTCAAGAATGTCGAAGCTTAAGTGCAGAAATGGAGTGTAAAACTTTTGGATCAAACT